ACTCCGCTCCGCTCACATGCTCTGGTCATGACACAGGGAACATCCGTAAAATCCAAGCCCTAGATGTTAAGTGCCACAGCACATGTACTAACCACTAGGAGCAAACGCGTTTTTTGAGTGACCTCACTAGGAGATCTTCTCACCCTCTGCATGGAGACCTGGAAGTGTTTTACTGGGAAGGACCGAACGGACACAATTGTCTGAGTGATTTTACTTTTTGGAACAATGGTCTAGGGAAGGAAGTGCAATAAGGGGCCTATCCTAAGTCCTTGAAAGCCTGGCTGCTTTCGATGGGGCCTGTGTCAACAGACCCCCCACCTAATCTCGCCAAGGGTCACACTTGCTTTTGCACCCTCCGTCCCCGCTCGAACAATCTCTCCGTCTGTGTGGAATCCCAACCCCCTTCGCCTCTGGTTTGGGATGGCACAAACCGGAAAATTGGCTCACAAAGGGAAGTACATTCTTCCATGCAGAAAACAATGTGTAAACAAAGAAGACCACCAAAGACATGAACTGAGATGGGTTTGTCTTTGGCTGCTGGAGCAGAAGTGTGCTGTTCCACCCTGTCTCTCGCTGTGGACACTATGTGCGCGTTACAAATCCATGTGAAGAGCCAGAGAGATGAGCAAAATGAAGAAGATGGGTTGGAATTTGGTGTCATTATGTAACTTGAGACTGGTTAAGAGAAAGAGTTTGAAAGGGTTGGTGCGTTTGCCCTGATCGGAGTCTAAGATTCCTGTCTGTAGATGTGGAAAAAAGCCCAGATGTTCAATTAAGTGCCGGAGGAAGTCTTGATGACAGGATATGGATGTTACCTAAAGCACAGTCTAGGACTCTTTAGAGAAAGCCTGCTTCCTATGATCTTAAGCTTCCTATGACATAATCCAGCAAGTGCTGAGGAAACAGCGAAAATGTGTACAGATGTGCACCCAAACGCCACGTTTATGTTCTTGTTGAGCATTTAATTTAATATATGTTGGAACATGGCTGCAAGAATTTGCCTACTGTAGCTACAATGGCACAGTCAACATACTTTTGCCCAAGTATTTTTTTCACTTGTTTTTTTGCGATTTAGTTTTCTTGGTCTGGCATATCTCCTCGCACCATTGTATTAGCATAGCAGGGCTCTGAAACAGCCTAGTTTTGTGAGCGAGACAAAAATCCAGAGTGGTAGCTGTCGCCAGCTTCATTTACACAGCCGATAAGAGGACCAGGGGAAGTGTGTTTCTCCTTCTCCAAACACGTAATCTCCCTGCACTGCAGGCGTTCCATTGTCAGGTCAAGAGGACTGGAATGGAGCTGTGAACTTCCTGGAATCTGCCACCTCTGACTTTCTGCTGAAATTCTTCAGGCCTCAAACATTTGAGACGGCCACAGATGCTAAGCAGTCCACCCCTGCTTTCCTTATGTTTAATCAAAAAGTTTCTTGAGTAGTCATTACCGAAGAGGAAGGTCGTCAGTCATTGAGCCATTGTTTCAGTGGTCACGACTGCTCAGGGCAGTTTGGTGTGCAGGATGGAGCCGATGTATAGAAATCAAACATCAAACATTCAGCTCAAGGATCAAAGCCGCACTAGTTGCCAGTTTGTAGGATACAGTTGCTGTGAATGCAAACACAGCTTCTTGAATAGGGAAATATAGGATTCTCCAAAACAGGACCATTACCAAATTACCAAATAGTACAGGGGGTTCCAGTCCTGCTCCTGGAGGGCCAACGTCCTGCAGAGTTCATTTCCAACATTTCCAAACACGCCTGCCTCAAAGGTCCTAGTGCTTCAGGTGTGTCTAACTGGGGATAGAGTGGCCCTCCAAGAGCAGGATTGGGCACCTCTGAGATTGGCTCTTGAAAGGTGGGATGGCCTTTCCTACAGCTGCCATAATGTTTTGTTGAGATTTCGGCCATACCTTAAATTATAAAATGTTGTCGGCACCAATAGCCTTGTGGGCAGTGCATCGACATATAGTGCTGTTGTGCTACGTGTGTCCCGAGTTCGAATCCTGGGCAAAAAATGCCAAAAATAAATAATAATAATAATAAAAAAACAACTACAAGTAGTTAAGTTTGTTTCATGTTGCACAACTTTGACAAAAAAGTGATTGTTATGTTTTGTAGGGTGTGCAAAACTAGCAAGCTATACCTCAGTTTGCAGCAATACCGCCATGCATAGATGCCAATTTTATCATCAATAATGGTTTATTTCAGTGAGTTCCAATAAGAGAACACACGTAGCCAAACCAAGACCACTTCTTAAAGTGGACTCAAACTAACTAATTGAACCAAATTTACACATGTTCTGTTCTCAAACAGACCTGTGGGTTACCAACTTTAACCACTAAAGTATTAGCGCAACTCATCAGTCACAAGGTTCTCATTTATAATCCTGTCTGTAAGTTTCTTATTGTGTACAGCAAAGCTCAGTCTAGAACTTAAGTGCCCTATATGTGCAGATAAGGTAGATTTTTTGAAATGTCATATTTTATAATGGCAGTGCTCATGGCTCGTTTCAGATGGAGCACAATCTATCTGTGTGACTCCACCACCAGAGCCAGAGTAAAATCATGAGCCTTGCTTTTGCTTTGGGTGTGTATGTTTACAGCTTGGCTCCAATGCATTGTCAGTTATAGTAGTGAAAGGCGTTGGCTGCTCTTTTGTAGTTGAACATATAATTGTGTACTTTTGATATAAGCAGTGGTTGCCTAAATTTAGTGTTTTCTTTCTTTCTTTTTAAAGACTGTCAAGTTTACAAGCTTCATTCCACAGAAACAAGCAGAAACCTAAAGTCGGCTTTACAGTTCAACTAAATCCTTGATTGTGCAGAGTTGAACAAAACGGCCAAATGCATTCTTGTGGTGGAAAACCCATTCTGCTTTATGCATGCCAGTTTTAGCATAAAAAAATAGTAGTTATTTTAAGTCTTATCAGCGTGGTAACCAAAGAGGAGGTGCTTTTTCTTGCTCATAAACTGCATTAAAAAATAACTTGAATAAATGTTTTGCAGATGAACGTTAAAGAGGTTGCTTATTTTTTGTAGTATGACCAGTGTAATCAGGTTAATAAACAAATGACTCATTAGGAGGTGCTTTTTCTTGCTCATAAACTGCATTAAAAATAACTTGAATAAATGTTTTGCAGATGAACGTTAAAGAGGTTGCTTATTTTTTTTAGTATGACCAGTGTAATCAGGTTAATAAACAAATGACTCATTTTAGCAGGTTATTAGTCAGATACAAATCAGCTCTCTCAAAAGTACTAAAACAGTTGTTAATGGATTGTTTAGTGGAATCACAATCTCAACCAAAATCATTAATTTCCTTATGTTTTTCATCTATAAGGAAGAGCCCTTACTTTACTTCAAAGCTTCTCAATTTGTGTGGAAGGTAACTAGGTTCCATTGAGACCATGTCAATTAACTGCTCCTGTGCATTGAGGTTATAGAGCTTCACTTCAAAACTTTGTGTGTTTTGGTCACTCATGGCTGTGACAGCTTCATAATAAGAACGGCCGATGGATCGTCACTGTGACTCCACATTGTGGGTGTATCCAGTGTCTGCGTTCTAGGTCCCATTCTACCCCAATGCCCCCACTGTCTTGAACTTTGACCTTGCTGAACTGGGAATACAAACACTGATTCACCTTTAGGCGGACACTGTGGGTTTCTTTGACGTTCCTGTGGCCTGGTTAAATTGTTCTGTCATTACTGGGGAAGGATCTGGAAATATAAAATGAAAGCTTTAAAACAGTGGATTTAGATTGAATAACATGATATAATTATTTAGCTTGGAAAATAATTCAGTAATTCCAAGTGTTAAGGCTGTGTGACGTAGCTAAAAAATTATATTTGTACTTTCTGACAGTATAATTATATATATATATATATATATAACAGTATTTATTATGTATTCATTATTTGAACAAACCAGCCATGGTAGCCAAGTAGGTTTTCACAAACCTTTAGGGGGGAAAAAAATCTAGTTTATTTTTTGGTCCAAAAAGGCTAATCACTTTGTCACTTTCCGAAGATGTTTTCAGATGTTTTTTGGGGATAAATAGTAAAAAATACCAATATTTGCAGACTTGCATAATTTTATGAAAGCATTTACACGCATAAGAAACATGCCACACTGAGACTTCTTCATTTTGAGAGATGAAGCAAACAGTTCTTTGTATCAGACTATTGAAATATTGGCTAATGGTCTTGAGACACTGTCCATGTGTTGCAGTGACAGAACTGTCTCCCTTAAGGGCCACAATTGATGACTGACCAAAGACTCTAAGATCACTATTGAGTGGTCTATTAGTTTCCATCTTCCTGCCAGTTTAACATCCCCTGAGCTGGCTAGTGAGGTCAGGCAGAGGTCAGAGGTTAGTGAAGTGCCCTTTGTTGTTCACAGGAAGAGACAGTGTTACTTAGTCCTGTATCTCCTAGTAAGCTAACAGGAATCTCCAGATGTCCTCAGGCCTTCTCATCAGTCTGGATCCCAGACTCCCTCTGGGGCTCTCATGGGAAAGACCAATGTAAACTGCCTAGCGACTCCTAACCTAAAAGTTTAAGTGTGCAGTTCATCATTTCTGCACTGCTGGTGGCATTTTCAATAGCAACCACCCAACACATTAGCAACTACCTAGCAAGGACTACATACACTTCAGACCCCTCTCTTCAAACTGTCCAGTTCTTTAGTTACAAGTTGTTGTGCAATTCAAGCTAATATGCAAGTGTTTCTGTACGTGGGACCTGGTGGTTCATACAGGTTGATGAGAGTTTATTCGAGAGCACTGTAACCTCACAGGGTTATACAGACTGTCCAGTGAATGAACAAACAGCCCTCTCATTTGCTTCATGTGACACATCAGCCACGAGCTTTCAGTAAAAGAGAAAAACAGAGAGATTATATATATATATATATATATATATATACAGTATATATATTAGCCATAGTCTCTTGATTGTCTTCATGTGAAGCTGATGTTTGTGTTCTGTGTGCTTTCTCTTGTGTCGTAGAGTTACTGGGCTCCACCAAGAGGCTGAACATCAACTATCAGGATCCAGACGGGTGAGTCATTGTTCTTTTGTGGGTGAATCTCATAACGAAACAAGTCAATAACATAATAATCAGGTCAAAACACAGACATTCTGAAGTGTACAGCCAGTCAGCACTTTACCATAAGGCCTGAGGAGTGATCAGATTAGAAAAGCTGCCAGAGAACTTGTGAGGCATGCAACTCTTTTTAAGTTGAAGTGCTATAGATACCAACTAGGTTCATTGTTTAATAACAGTTAGGTAGGTAATTATTAAATAGGTAATTATTTTTTTGTATTGGCAGTATTATTAGTATATCATAGTTTAAGGACCAGAGGATGAAAGGCTGATCACCAGAGAATGAGAGGCTCATCAAATAACCATCAAATAATGTGAAAGTTGCAAAGGTAATGTCATAGTTCAAAAAGTCTTAATGGTCCTAAAATAGCCAAACAATTTCTAACATCTATCTCTTGATGTTGGTGTGAAACCAAGTTACTCTGGTAACTCTGCTGTTTTAGGCCTTTTGGATTTGACTGCGGCCTTTGATATGGTCAACCACTCAATTCTTTTATCTAGACTTGAACAGTGTGTCAGCATTAAGGGCATAGCCCTTACATGGTTTCAGTCGTATTTGACAGACCGAAGTTTTTCTGTTCACCTTGGTGAATTTTCTTCATCTGCTGCCCCTCTTTTTTGTGGCGTCCCCCAAGGGTCAATAATGGGCCCCATGTTGTTTTCTTTGTATATGGTGCCCTTGGGGTATATTTTTAGAAAGCACAATATCTCCTTCCACTGTTATGCGGATGATGTACAAATTTATTTGCCTGTCAAAACAAATGACAAAACTTAATTTCTGTCATTACTAAATTGCCTGAGAGATTTAAAAATATGGCTGGATCAGAACTTTTTTTGTCTTAATGAAAATAAGACTGAGATTATTGTGTTTGGTCGTCCTGGGGATTTAAGTGCTTGTGTAGATGCACTTGGTAATTTAGGTTTGTATGTTCGTCCATTTACCAAGAATCTCAGTGTGATTTTTGACAGTGCTTTTAAATTTGAAAAACAGATTAGTTCTGTTGTAAAAGCCAGTTTCTTTCAACTGAGACTGTTGGCTAAAGTCAAGCCCTACCTGCCACATAAGGAGTTTGAAAGTGCAATTCATGCTTTTATAACATCTAGACTAGACTACTGTAACTCTTTATATGTTGGTTTGGATCAGTCATCTCTTCAACGCTTACAGTTAGTCCAAAATGCAGCAGCTCGGCTTCTAACTGGGACTAAAAAGTATGAGCACATTACCCTTGTCTTAGCTTCACTACACTGGCTTCCTGTCCGCTTCAGGATTGATTTCAAGATTTTATTGTTTGTTTTTAAGATTTTAAATGGGTTGGCGCCTGCTTATTTATCAGAGCTTTTACATGTCCACACTCCTGTTAAAGCGCTGAGGTCGTCCAATCAGGTGCTCCTCGATGTTCCGAGAGCCAGGTTAAAAAATAAAGGTGACCGAGCTTTTTCAGTGGTGGCACCTAATTTGTGGAATAGTTTACCTGTGCACATAAGAACTGCTCAGACTGTTGGAATTTTTAAGTCATTACTTAAAACACACCTGTATTCCTTGGCTTTCATTTCGAGCTGAGCTGAGACATTGTGAAGGTTTTTTTTTTTTTTTTTACTGTATTTGTCTTGTTTGTGTGTGCATTTTTCCAGACATTGTTAAGCACTTTGGTCAACCATGGTTGTTTTTAAATGTGCTATATAAATAAAATTGAACTGAACTGAACTGAAATATGTTCTGATATATACATTAATACTTTTTTTAAGTTTGAGGTCTGTAAGATTCACTGCATTTATTTGATCAGTACAGTAAAAACTGTAATATTGTGAAATATTATTACAATTTTTTCTATTTGAATATATTTTCAAATGTATTTTATTCCTGATATCAAAGTTCAGCAGCCATAACTCCACATTTCTTAATATTGTCATTGTTGAAAAAAAGTTGTGCGGCTTATTATTTTTTGTGGAAACCATGACACAAGTATATATTTTTTCAGGATTCTTTGAATATAGTCAAAAGAACAGCATTTATTTGAAAAATATTTTGTAACATTATAACATAATGTCTTTACAGTCAATTAATGTGTTCACTTTTGATCAAATTAATGCATCCTTGCTTAATAAAAGCATTAATTAAAAAAAATATTGACCCCAAAATTTTTGGTGGTACAAATGATCTGCACATGGTCTCTTCACAGACAGCATCACAGCCTCATTCCGTCACCTGAGAGTGTCAGTATAATCGTGTGCAAGCATGTTGACTTCCTGTGTGATGGATCATCCCACTTTGATTAGTTTTGAAATTGACAGTTGTTGAATCACACAAGACATCCGAGTCAGCACACTGTCTTATATGCTATAAATGTCCTCTAACCTATTGTTGTCAAACCAGCTTTTTCAGACGGACTGAATTACACCCCTCTGGAAACTTCTCATAATAAGGTTTATTTAAGTCTATGATCAGTTTTTCACTTGGCTTTATTATTTTGAATTGTGACCATTCTATATCTAATATTATTTTTCTTAACTCTCTGTTAAGTTGTGTACTTTCATGTAAGCGTTTTAAATTGTTAATGTGCCCGCAATGCCCTGAAATAACTTGGCTGTGTCTTCATAATGATTGGGCAACTTCGTATACACACTAAGTGTGCTATGAGCTCTAAGCCTTAAAATCTGTGTATATAAGACCGAATTCTTTCAGCCAGATGCTTTACCTGTGTCTCATCTTAAACTGACCACTATCATTGCTCACACAGTCTATTAAAACGTGCTATGTCAACAGTGTCTTTGAGATAAGATGGGCCTCTCACAGGGCTGTAAAATAGCACATTGACCTCATATATTAAGGTTGAGACTCTGGTGACATTTAGGTGCTTGTTTTTGGGTGGCCCCCCACCTGTCTGTCGTAAAGAAGAGAAAGGGGCATGGGCCAGTCGAGGGGTCAGAGATGGCCATTCGCAGATAAGGACCGTAACGAATTAGATGGGAGTGTTTACAAAGCACCGAACAGCCATTATTGAGGCCGGATGGGGAAGGCAAGAGGAAAACAGGGAATGATGGATGGAGATTTATGAGAGTTGTTGAGTGCTGATCCGTGCTTTCATGGCTGGTGTGAACAAATCTGCCACTATATGGCATTAAAGCACGTTAAATAGATAACAAAAAATATCCAAGATAAACTCTCGGGTTAGATTGGCTGGCGTCTCAGGTCTTTAAAGAGGTCCACTCTTAGTTTGAACAAGATGCATCAGTTACATAGTTTTATTTTGCTTTTCTAAGTTGCCATGGTATCTACTGACCCGGGTTTTGTTATATAACATCTCTATTTAATGGAAACTTACTGACAGAAGAGGAAAACAGGAAAAAGGGGCGAAAGGATGTAGTTGAGCTCAGCTCAGTCAGAGTGTATGTAGCACAGTCATGCAGAGACCTGTATCACTTATTAATGGGAATAAAGTACATAGACTCACCCGTGTATAGGTAAAGGCTTCGGGCCGTCTGGGATCTGAATCTTACGAAATATGCAACATATTCAGGTCATATTACAGTACTCTCTGAAATCAAATGAAAAAATATTATATAAATAATCTTATACATAAAAATGTATTTATACAAGGACATCTCATTACAATTAAGAACCTTTCTCAAACAATTTTCAAGACTACATGCTAAAAATCTAATTTTGTTTTGTCATTTTTAATTTTTAAAGAATTTTATTAAATAATATTTTTGTTTATGCTGATTAAAAACATTTTGGAATTGCAATATTTTTCTAATAATGTAGCAAATTAGAATCTAATGAGAACAACAATTGAAAGTAATAGAATAAAAAAAGATAAATGTAAAACATCTATAGAGGCATTATGGCAATGAGATCCTTTGGTCAAAATGTACTTATTATGAAAATTTTATTATATAAATATGGAAAGCTACTTTTAAAAGTAATGCATTACAGTGTTGTGCTACGCATAAAAAAGTAACTAATTTAAAAAAAAAAAAAACGATTATTAAAATTATATATTTTTTATTGATTATTTATTATTTTTTGAACATGTTTTTGTCAGATGCTCCCATCTAAAGGACGTTTGAGTTGCAACACTGTTAGGAAAAAAAAGTAACTAATTTTGTTACTTAGTTACTTTTTATGGAAAGTAATGCATTACATTACTTTCTCGTTACTTTTTGTCACCTGGGCTGGGCTGGGCTGGGCTTGCTTATTTATTTTTTAAAAACCCAAAAGTTATATTTTTGGCAACTGTAAAGTCTCTTTTACTACTAAAGTGAAATTATTAAGCCTAAGTCTGAAGGAAGTGCCTCTGCACCTCTTTCTCTCAATATGGGACAGAAGAGGTGCCAGTGCATAAATTCGAAAAAGTACTTTACTAATTACGTTACTTAAATAATTACTTGAAAAAGTAATCGGATTACTTTTTTTCAGTAAAGATTTGCATGCCCAGGTCTGTTTGTAAAGGAGAAAAATGAAATGTGGGGTTTGGGGTGGGGGGGCTCAGCAAATAATAGTGGTGTAGAGTTGAAGGTTTTGCTTGTCTGTGAGACAAATTAGTATTTGAGCTGCCTTTGACTTTTTGTGGAACTGTTGGGATTTGTATGGGGGTCGTTTCCATGGCAAACGTACTGGAATGTTTGTGAATGAATGGCAAGGCCGGTGTGAGAGGGACTCTTTGGAGCCCTGTCCTTTGTCCACCGAGGGCAGCTCTGCCAGGACGCATCAAATCCGTCCTGACATCCCGAGAAATGAAGGCGAAAGTGGACAGGGCTTGTAACACAAGGCCCTCGCTGAGTTCTGGGAACTTTTCTGAATTGTGTGTTTGTGGGTAAATCAACAACTGCTCGATATCACTGTGGGCAGCCATCGGACTGTCTGACCCGCTCTTGATATTTCCTGGGGTGCAAAACTGTGTTTTTGTCTGGTATGATGGCCAAATGCAGCCAACTCATGTAGATGAAGAACA